AATTGAATTCCATCCCATTTTTCAGATACCTGTTTTTGTAAATATTTATCTTGATAAGTGTTATAAATCCTCGATTATGACAATGGCAAAGAACCATTGGCCACAATAACAAAGACGATACTTTCCTTCTTTTCTGCTCGTTCTTTTTCGTATTTTCCAATTACGAGGGATGCTTCAGGAGTTACTGTTTCAAATCTTCTAGATTTCCAGAGTGAAATTTGTAAATCCTTAATCCTTGCTGCATTCTCAGATGAAAAACATCTGAGTTTAAATACATTCCTATTAGCCTTTCTGCCTTCGCATTTTTCAGTGTCATCTTCACTAGAACCTCAGTAACAGAATTCTAACCCTGATACTGAGACTAATTTAACTTATTTGGAAGCATTTATAAAAATTTATCTCTTCCTTACAGTACAGGCAATGAAATATATGTCACTCAAAGCAGGGTTAGGAGGTTCTACTTTCTTGTATTTGTGTGTACCTTTAGAAATCAAAAAATACTGTCTGTAGCATCACTGTATCACCAGAAAATGACACTGTGATCTCATAACCTAAGTATCTGAATGCTAACCCTCTTGGGTCTCATAAATTCTGCTGGATGAAAAACTCTCATATTAGGTATTTTCTAGGAGTGCATATAGATATCATCTATCTTTTTGCTGTTGTGCTATAAGTTATGATACTGTTACTATTGTTACAGGCTAATCCTACAGTGGCGAAAAATTGTACAGTTTGATTATAATAGCTTAGTAATTCATGAAAGCAAGTGAGAAAGAGAAAATACTACACAGGCTGAAAATTCTAGTAAGAAATGTATGCAGCACAGATAATATTTATATGCAGGTGCATATATATATATATGCATGAAAAAACTTTATAAAAAATAGCTCAATAATGTAGACTAGTAGCTTAGATAAATCCACATTAATCGGTACTAAACATGGTAAATAGATGCTGAAAAGGCTATATGGTATTAGACAGAATGAGGTAATTGGTTCTTAAAATATAAGAAAAAGAAGATAGTCTAACTTTTTAAGCACTATTGTAAGTGGCGAGATCCTGACTAGAAATAATAATTGTTTCATATGGAAAATATATGCTATATGTCACACATGGGAGAAGAGCAAGCCAGACCAGTCAAAACCAGTGGCCATCACCAGAAAGTCCTGAAGACGGAAATACTCAAGAGATCCTAAATTCTATTTGTTAATATATTTGTAAACAAGTTTATAAGCTTCTACCTAGCTTCAGAATGATTAAGTGCTTATTCCCTCCCTCACAAGGGCACATGTCCTCATAACCATAAAATATATTTATCCATGTAAATAGCTGATACTTGTCCTGAACATAACTTTGGCTTTATGGATATCCTGTGGCACTGAGCTCAGCAGGATAACTCCTAACTATATAGTATACAATCACTTTTGTAAATTTGTCTATTTTTATAGTGTTGGTCTATTTTTATAGTATTCTTTACATAGATCCTTGACCTGGACCTGATACAATGAAAAAAAACACTTTGGAATATTCTATTTCTCCCTATCTACCTAACAGCTTTTGTATTACAATACCAGCTCCTTTGGGACCTCTCCACTCTGACTGAAATATTTCTATTTTGCGTAGCATCTCTTCACAATTTCAACAAACTTCGTTGTGAAAAATGCATGTCTCGTTAAATAAAAATAAAAATAAAGAAAGCAAGTGAGAAAATGAAACAGAGGAAACCACATTTTGCTGTTGATTTAAATTTTGAAAAAGATTGTAATGTCTAGATCTTTATAGGATATTTCATACAAAGATCATCTTTCACTGCTTCATCTTTAAGTGTTCTACAGACAATAGATTATTGACCAGCAATGCTTTGAACAAACTTTCTGGTATAGGTCAGAATTTTTAACCAGACAGGACCAAAGGTTAAATGACTTGACCATCTGATTTTTTTTAGTGATGCTGGTAATATTTTTTGCCCACTCTCATATTTGATTTCACATGATTTCACAAAAGTGCTCATCATTCATTATTTCAGTAATATACGCTTAGGCAAGTAGCATGATTTAAAATTTACTGACACCGTGATCCATTTAAATAGTTCCGACATAGCATTAACTTATTATAGGGAATGCAAATGACAGTATAACACCAAAATTGAATCAAGTAAACTGAAAATAAAATTTGTGTAGAATGACAGATCTCATTTCAGGCTGTTTGCACCCAAGAACATGATGATAATATACAGTATTTGTGTACTTGATCTAGAAAAACTTTAACAACTTCAGTTTATTTGTATCAGCCTCATACTAATAAACAATGATAGCATTTCCTGCCTTAAATCTTTGGAAAATGTGAAAGTAATCTGAAAAAAAACTATTGTACTTTTGATCCCTGAAGAAGCTTGAAGAGTCCAGCAGATTTAAATCTTTCTTCTTTGGATAGCAATAAATCTGCTCAGATACTTGCTTAAAATAACTATTTTTCTTGCTTTATTAGAATCTTGCAATCCATAGAATCATAGAATAGTTAGGGTTGGAAAGGACCTTAAGATCATCTAGTTCTAACCCCCCTGCCATGGGCAGGGACACCTCACACTAAACCTCTTACCCAAGGCTTCGCTCAACCTGGCCTTGAGCACTGCCAGAGATGGAGCATTCACAACTTCCTTGGGCAACCCATTTCAGTGCCTCACCACCCTCAGTAAAGAACTTCTTCCTTACATCCAACCTAAACTTCACCTGTTTAAGTTTTAACCCATTACCCCTTGTCCTGTCACTACAGTCTCTAATGAAGAGTCCCTCCCCATCATCCTTGTAGGCCACCCTCAGATACTGGAAGGCTGCTATGAGGTCTTCATGCAGCCTTCTCTTCTTCAGGCTAAACAGCCCCAACTTTCTCAGCCTGTCTTCATACGGGAGGTGCTCCAGGCCTCTGATCATCCTTGTGAGCCTCCTCTGCACTTGTTCCAACAGTTCCATGTCCTTTTTATGTTGAGGACACCAGAACTGCACACAATACTCCAGGTGAGGTCTCACAAGAGCAGAGTAGAGGGGCAGGATCACCTCCTTTGACCTGCTGGTCACGCTCCTTTTGATGCAGCCCAGGATACGGTTGGCTTTCTGGGCTGTGAGCACACACTGCCGGCTCATGTTCAGTTTCTCATTAACCAACACCCCCAAGTCCTTCTCTGCAGGGGGGCTCTGAATCTCTTCTCTGCCCAGCCTGTAGCTCTGCCTGGGATTGCTCTGACCCAGGTATAGGACCTTGCACTTGGCATGGTTAAACTTCATGAGGTTGGCATCAGCCCACCTCACAACTGTGTCAAGGTCCCTCTGGATGGCATTCCTTCCCTCCAGCGTATCAACCGAGACACACAGCTTGGTGTCATCGGCAAACTTGCTGAGGGCGCACTCAATCCCACTGTCCATGTCACCGACTGGTCCCAACACCGATCCCTGAGGAACACCACTCGTTACTGGTCTCCAGCTGGACATTGAGCCATTGACCACAACTCATTGCGTGCGGCCGTCCAGCCAGTTCTTTATCCACCGAGTGCTCCATCTATCGAACTGATGTCACTCCAATTTAGAGACAAGGATGTCAGGTGGGACAGAGTTGAATGCTTTGCACAATTCCAGGTAGATGACATCAACTGCTCTACCCCTGTCCATCAGTTCTGTAGCCCCATCATAGAAGGCCACCAAATGGGCCAGGCAGGATTTCCCCTTACTGAAGCCATGCTGGCTGTCACCAAGCACCTTGTTGATTTTCTTGTGCCTTAGCATGCCTTCCAGGAGAACCTGCTCCAAGATTTTGCCAGGCACAGAGGTGAGACTGACTGGTTTGTAATCCCCCAGGTCATCCATTTTCCCCTTCTTGAAAATGGGGGTTATATTACCTTATTTCCAGTCATTGGAAACTTCATCTGACTGCTGTGAGTTTTCTATCATTTATTTATTATTACTGCACTTGATAAGCTTATTGCAAAAATTTGCAAGCACAAAATGACTTTTAATGTTTTTTTACAGCAATACTCAAAAATTAGTGGAAACTTGGCTCTGACATCTTCAATACTTTCTTGATAATCCTAGTAATTTCCTGGTGATAGCAAATCTCCAGAATTTTGCTTAAAATGCTTGAGAAATATTTGAAATGGAAGAGGTGATTCTTTGATTTAATAGTTATATTGTTAACCAATACAGATGGGCATATTTTCCAGTGCAGTTGTCCAAACATTCAATCTGGACAGCTAGAGTTCTCACATTACTGAGATAATGTTATTGCTATTAATAATCTCAACCTCTGAGTTTGAAGGCACTGCACAGAGCTGCTAGATGGCTGCATAAAGGTAATTATTTTTATAACTATAAGATTAGAAATACTGGAAACTCTGTACACATGGTTTTGTTCTGCTGCATGTTTAGCTTCAGAAAGCCAAAAATGGATGTGACAGGAATAATACTTGCAGGAAACATAACACTATAAAAATGACACTCTAGTGCAAGTTAAGCTTATAGCAATATAAATATTTATGTTATTAACGCCACCTAAAGTATCCAAGTATGAAATATACCTCACTATTGTATGTGCAACATAGCAGTTTATGTCAGCAAGACATTACTTCTCTTGCAATAAGTTTTATTTTAAAATGATTTATTGTACTGAAGTCCATCAGGAAGGAAAAGGAGCTTGATGAGGTAAGAGAGGACCAGGAAAAGAAAGCAGGACCGGATGCACGTAGAGTTCAATAACATAAATTGTCATAGTATCTTTCCAGAGGCTTCCACCCTAAACAATTTTAACTGTTGGCTGCAACATAGGTCTCCTTTTATGTGAATGTGGTTTCCTGAAGTGAATGGAAAGTCAGACATCTGTAAAGGTTTAGCAAATTGGGCCTATACAAAACAAATCTTATTAATAAGCACGTGGACAAAAACTCCGCCAGTGTTCAATAAACTCTTGCTTTTCTTTCAGTGCCATGTGTTCCCATTATCTTCTTAATCACTCACTCACAGCTCCAGTTTAAGACAGTGATGTTGTAGCCAGTGCATTCTTGGTCAAATGAGAAGTTATGTATCCTATGGTGAGATCCAGTCCTGGTCATTTCTTTCTGTTATTCTAAATGGCCAAACTCAGTTAATTAAGGAAATTTTGTTTCCTTATGCTAGCTGTACCAGTCCTGTCACTGCAGGCATATTTTCAAGACAAATGCATCAGTGTTTTGTCAAAGCTAATCTTATTTGTGTCTAGAAATAAGGCTTCCATAATTTTTTGAAGACTGTGTAATAATTTTTGCTCTTAGAAAAACGTCCTGAAGTTCTGCTTATTTGAGACAAAGATTAAAGAATAAAGATGTCATTCCAGCTAGTGAGACAAGTATCATGATTTTGAGTTTCTCAGGGAATACTCACCATCTCTCATTATTTATTTTTTTTATCTGAGTATCTGGAAACAAACACTTTTAAGAAAGGCAATGTATTAGGGTCTGTGAAGAACTCAGTCCTTAATGTAAGAAGTCAATATGGTATTTAAGTATTGGCATCTGATTTTACAAATTTTCTTTAGATCATGGAACCGTAAAGTCATTTTGACATGGTTTGGTTGAAAGCTGGTAACATGCAGTACTGATTGATTTTGAATTATATACAGAATTTGTATTAGCTTAGATTCCAGGAGTCTGTATAATATTTTTTCATCTAGTTTTGGGGTGCATGCTTGTCTCACTACCCATGTTCCACCAGGGCACTGAGAAGGCAGAAAAGGAATATATCCTTCTCCAGGTGACTCATGGGACTTTACAATAACATTAAAACAAGGAATCAAATCACAAGTTAAGTATTTCTGTGTGGCCCTTTGGATGGATGCTCCTTTACATGTGAGAGGAAGCATAAGGAGGTCATAAGCATATTAAAAGTTCTAGCAACTACTGAATGACGGGCTTGAATTAAGTCCTAGTTAGCCATAAGGGATATGGAAAGGTTAGTTATAAATTACCTCAGTCCTCTGATGTTGGCAGGGATTATTTCTATTGATTTTGATGAAGACCAAAACATTACCTAGGTCTTTGACTTCAAGAACTTTATTCACATATAGTAAACATCAGCTATTTTGGTGCTATTAGCCACACAAGTACCTAAAAATGAACTGTATTTGAATTAATCAATTACATGTAACAATTGGCTGGTACTAAATTTCAGCGGTTTATGCAGACCAAAACAGTGTTTGGGGCAGCAAACAAGCAATTCTGCATCACTTTAGATACCCAGTTTCATCACATCAAAATGTTTTAAATTTATTTAAATATTTCTAAAATTTTCAGCCGATTCTGAGCATAATGTCAAAGAGAAAATTAATAACTTCATGTTAATTTTAAGAAGAATGGATTCATCATTAATTTTTTGCTACTCTGGAATGCTTATCTAGAGATCAGATCACTAGTTGACCATTTGTTGATTCCTTAGTTCAAATCCTAAACTAGCACAACTCATCTAATGATGAGATAATTAAAGCCAAAAATATTACATCACTACAGACCAACCGAGGAGCAGACCTGCATGTTCAAATTACAGAATACATATTCTAGCATCAGCAGCTAGTCAGTAACTGGATGCCACACCTTCAGCCCACTGGAATCCCATGCACTACAATACTACGATATTCTCTCTCCAAGAAAAGCTTGAGAAGGAAAATTTCACGCACACACATATATATCAGAAATTGCAAGAACAAGTCTCATATTGCAAAAATTATTCCAATAGTCATTCTTTACTTGTGAATTTAGTTTGGGAAGTTTTCATAGAGAGACAACTTTTGTAATTCAAGCAAACTAAGATGTTGGAGACATGCATAAAAACTTTCCTTTGAAATATATTTTAATTTCTCCCACGTCTCTGGAAGGAAACTGCTTTTGACAGACTATATTTTGCCACTGTTAATAATTAATATCAACATTTATCAAGGGAGATTGGTCTTTGCTTTAATTCTCATTGTATGCCAACCAACCTGCTACCCATTCTGATTACTTTTATTACTTACTGCTATTGTTTTGTGGACTTTACAGGCAATACTGCTACAACTAAACAAAAAATGCCAATATGAAAAAAATCTGCTCTTCAAAAAGGCTTTTATTTCCCACTGTCTCAGATTCATATTTTAGGTCATACTGTATTTTGAAATTAAATTTTTCTTACTCAAAAACTTCACAATATAACAGGTGGTGTTTCTTGGTCCTTCAAATAGAGAGAGCCACATGCCATCTCTGTGGGTTTAAATCTATGTGGAGACCCTGCAAAAATGGTAATCATGTTCAAAATCTATTGACTTTGACTGGAAATGAAAGTATGCAGAATTTTGCAGAACTTCGCCTCCACTGCGTAAAGGGGCTGCTTCACAAATTTATTTTTGATCAAGCTGGAAACAGAGGAAACCAGTGTCATATATAATATAAAATGGAAGCCTGCATTTCAAGGGAATAATAACAATAGAAATAATAATAATAGTAATAATAATGTCACTTCTAGGGAAGGTGGGAATGAGGGAGAGAAGTCAAAGTGACTTCTATTGTTTTGATGTGGAATGACTGCAAATCGAGCTGCATCACTCTTGAGCTTGGGGGGCAGGGAGTGGAACAGGCTTAGATATTGTTAAATTTAAGTAATGTGGAGTCAGTTCTCTCTAGGAGCAACACTGTATATGCACTGAAATACTCCTGAGAAAATATTCCTGACTTACATTGCCACAATGGAAACCAAAACCCTTAAAAAGAAACTCTGGCTGCCTTTAGTTCTCTGTAACAGTGATATATACATATATTTATATATATATATATATTAAAAATATATATATTTAAGTTAGACCAGTAATAGTCACTGTGTTATAGTATTCTTCACATTTTGTTGTACTTTCTGGACAGTTTTACAATGTCCTTCCCACATTTACTCCAAATTCAGTTTGTATACAGAAAAAATAAGATGTTGTGAAAGTTGCAACTACATTATCTGATTATAATAACAATTTTAATGCTTACACTTGGGCTGGAAGTAGAAAACTCTTTCACTGGTTTTATTTTTATTATTGTCCTGAGCCCCACACACTCAAGTGGCAGAATGGCCACATACTAATCACATGTATGAGTTTCTCTACAGGATGTCATGTTAATCATCAGAAATTTTGGTCAAACAGTGTGATAATTTTGCTGTTTATGGAATGTCATTTTTTTCACCTTTTATACAAAAAAAAAAAGGATTCATTTTAATTTCCCTATTACTTTGTATTTTTAATGAAAATATAACACACTTTTAAAAACTTAATTTTTAGATATTCCCTTTCAACTAAATATTCTGGTTTTGATTCTGCTTTCCAAAATGAGGATTTCTGCATTTGCTTTTTAAACTACTATGGATACGGGTGGCTTGTACAGGCAGCACTTTGTAATTACCCATCTGATTTGTCAATGCACTGATACTTATGCATGGATTTGTAAACCATCAGCACCCTCCACTTAAGGCATTTCACACAGTTCTGCACATGCACTGGATTTCTGATTATTTACAGCCCTAAATATGTTTTGCAGTAAGACTGACAACTGTTCTGCTCTAAGGATGCTCATCTTGTTTACGCTTTTCCCGAGGGATGAGGATTTGAAACAAGAAGCATCTTCATTTTCAGTTATATAGATGTAAAATAATTCCAGATTTCAGATTTATACTGGAGAAAACCTGTGGTAAAACTGTGACCAGTCACACACTAGTTCATGCTATTTCAAGTCTTATAACTTGATTTTCCCTTACTGGTGGTGCTGTGTCATGAGAAGATTTAAACAGTGAAAAATTGTCAAAGAGATCCTCCTCTCTTACAGGCCAGTAATACAAGGTATGCAGATGTTTAGTTCATGTGATTTTATTTACAGCATTGCAATACTTATAAGAAATAAGGATCCTCCTGTGATTGTCAGCAATTACAGAACACACATACTTATTTATAATAAGGAGAATCTTCTGACTGGATATTGCCCAAACAGTGAGCAATACATTGGGCTGATGAATTCAACTTGTATAATTACCTGAGAGAAAGGAACTAGAGCGAAGGAAGGGGAAATGCGCTTCCTGTCAGTTTGGCTCTAATCTCATTTCCACACAATCTAAATGACATCTTTGTACATGTATCTGTTAGTGAACCAGCAGACTACTTCCTAAAGAAGCTCTTTCAGATAAGAGATGTTAAAATAGATAGAATCATAGAACTATGAAAGTACAACCCTTTAATCTTGGTGGGAAGACCTAGGTTTCAATATAGCTAGGGTTTTAAGCATTGGAGATTAAGACAGTAGTTGGAGAGAGAGAGAGCAGAGGTGAGGGAGAGGTGCTGTGCATTACATTTCTAAAAGAATGATCCACTGGGAGTCACTTTTGCAATGCTGTTATTTACAGTTGGAATATGCAGCACAATTGATGTCATTTTGCTGATTACTTATCTAGATTGTTCATATGTAAAAAGTCAGTAGAGTTATAGATGTGATCCATGCACTCATGTACCCACAAATAACCATGGGCACAAACCCCTGCCCTGAATTTCATGTTTAGAAGGGAACTGAAAGCTTTGCAATTGTGACTGGCCAGGTCTCTTAATGTGTATTAATAATTCTCTGCATGAAATAAAATAATTTGATATTATCAAACACCACAAAATTCTTTTGTAATGACACATTTCGTTGAAATTTTCCAGACTGGCATTAGGCTACTACAGCAATAAGCAGAATGTAAGACAGAACAGAACAGAACAGAATTTGTTTCGTTATTATTCAGATCGTTCTATATCTAGTTGCAAAACTGCATTAGTTTCTATAAAGGAAACAATGACTAACAAAATGGATACATTTATTCTTAGACATTAACTGCCTCTGGGGTACTACTGAAATTTGCCCTGGGAAAAGTCTTCTGAATCATATATTAAAAGACATCCCTTGTTACCAGCTAGCAAAGCTACACACACTTTGCTATCTGTTCCTGTTTGGACACAAGTGCGATGTCTCACTGTAGATTCTGAAGGGAAATATACACCTGCAAAGCAGCAGTACTCGATTATCTGCAGTAACATTAAAGCAATTTCCTCATACTGTT